AAATAAATTCCTCCCAAGCTCCCTAAGACTTCCGAGTGGTGGGCTGCACTTGTGTCTTCATGAAGGAAATCAATAGCTGTACTGCTACTGCTCTCTGGCTTCTACCCCACCCTTCCCCCTGCACAGTGCACAGATTGTGTTCAAGGAAATGGGGGATCCCAGGGGAGCAAAATGGCTTTTTGCACTTAAGGTAATGATATCACTTGAGGTCGCCATGCAAACAGTTACAGATATGAAGATCTGCAGGTTTGTCAACAGAGCTGGAATCTGGGGACCTAGCTCAAGAGTTAGAGCATTTTTATAAAGTGTTTCCCTAATTTACCTACAGAGCGTCCTCCCAGAAACAACAGCTGCTGTACCTAATTAGCATTAATCACCTTGTTACAGAAGAGCAACTGGGAATAGTACAGTACTTGAAATACTGACAAAATGATACACTAATGGCATTGAWCTGTCCAGTCTACTTCAACTTCCCCTTTATTATTCTCTTTTCTGTATGAAAAGCTTTAGAAGTCACAMGTTTTGGAGCAGACTGAGAAGCGATGATGCAGAAAAGGAGCCACAGATGCGGGCAGACACAGAGCCTTTGAGCCTTCACAAGATGCTTGTTGCCTGCTCTGTTTGTGACTGCACTTGCCATTTCTGCATCTTGACCTGAGGCAAGAGCAGTGCTGGAAGGGGATCTCTGAGCACGGCAACCTTTTGAACAGCACTGGCATGGGCTGCTCTGCTGTGTGCTTCGTGGCTCTTGGATGGAAAGCTTTAAAWCAAGCTCTGAAGCCACACCCTATCCCAGGAGAAGGGGTTAAATACCCACAACCAATTGAAAGATCAATCTCAGACGCCACATGGGGCAGTCTGTAGTTTACTGGGATCAGAGACCTTCTGTACAGTTTCAGCCAGAAATGCACCAATTTTGTTAAGTTGAACCCTGAGGGCTTTGTAGTTCTGACTGATATGCCTGGTATTATTCCTCCCTGATCACACAGCAGCTCAATATGTGCCATGAATGCACAGCAGCAAGCTGCAAGGTAGAAGCTAACACGACAAACCTGTCATCAGCCTCTGTCCCCAAATGGATTATCTCCTCTGTTCACTTCAATCTCCACCAAGATGGGGCTCAGTCACAAATTAGTTTTCCCCAAGCCAAGSACACCAGGGAATGCCATTCTCTGTGTCCTCATGATGGTGTTTTTGCCGCTGTTTAACCCTAACAGTCCTGCCTGGTCTAAGTGAACAGCATTCCAGTAACTCCCTTAGGTGGGACTCAGTTTCTCTAGTTTAGACTCAGTTTTCACATACTTTCATGACCCCTTTGAGGAACCTTCCAAAAACAAGTGTCTTTTTTCCTATCTAGTCCAAGGAGAGGATTTGCATCTAAGGCCACAGGCACCTTGGCAGACTGAAGGCTGGTGTGAGTGTCTCTGTCTCTCTACCACACATTCATCTGTAAACAGGCATGCAGGACATTTACTGCCAAGCTCCCAGTGTGGTGGATGTGCTGATAAAGACACCTCTGCCACATTCCTTATCCCACCTGTTGCTTGTTTTGCAGCACTCCAACCCATTTCYGCATTGCCCATTCTGTTTTAACACAAATTAATGTCACTGACTACTAGRTAAGACAGACACACTGTCTGGGTAGGGATTTCAGACCAGAGRAGGGAAATTAAAAATGCAAAACAGAAAAGCAGATGGCATAAGCTTCATTAAAATAATATCTCATCTTCTGGGAATCCTAGGAGGATCTGTTGCCTTCCAGTGGATGTGGTGCCCTGAGATTTACACTTGGGGATTATTCTGTCCCTCTCTCTCCCCTTATCATAACTCTCTTCTGTTTTCAAAAGGCTTGTGGTATGTGCTCCATCTGGATATGGCTCCTAATAAGGATGTGCTGGAGACATCTCCTAAGCACTAATGTACACCCAGCCCCCAACCCATGCTGTCAGGAGTCTCCTTATCAATGATCTGAAAGAAAGAAAGAAGCATCACAGAGCCTTGCAGCTCCTGACAGAAAGACAAAGTGGGTTTTAGAAAAGTAACAAATAGAAAATTAATATGGATACAGTATCAATATCAGGGTTTAAAATTATGAACTGGGAGATCTTATTTCTCCTTGGTGTGATGTTACCTTTTTTGATGTGACTGTAGCATCAAGCGCTCTTCCATTTATAAACCAGGTGTAACCTTTAGGAAATCACAATAAATGTAAGACCCGTGTGAAGTTYTTCTTGTATCTAACTGATCCCCTTAAGACAATGTGTGGCTAAATGTATTTATTTAGAGGGGAAGAAACAGCCAAGGAAAGGACCATTCAGGCAGCAGGATAAATMTGCGTGCAGTGTGTGCAGTTTTCACGCTCTTTCCATCACACTTCAATCACTGCAGTGTCYGGAAGCAAAAGTTGTATTCATGCTGGGTTGGTATTTAATTGAGCTCACTTGAACCAAGCTTCCACCAAGCACATACGACAGATTTATACRTGAATCTTCGCAAACTGAAAAATGACATTTATCAACCTTCCATCAGAACATTTGACATTTGAACAATTGACTCTGATTTAACAGTGAAAAATGCCACCATCCATATGGAAAACCTGCAGTAGGATTAAACCCTAGTTACTACCATTCCCAACAATGGCTCTGCCAGTTAAGCTACTAAACTTYTATGTACCACCTAAATTTTTTTCTAGCCTTAAAGAGATTAAAAACAACCCTGATATGTTTAATGCAGAAGGGATGAAAAAATCTAGTCAGAGGAAAGAGGGCCAGAGCTGGGAGATGCAATGATTAAGCTGCTAGAAAATTGCAGAGGCTGGGCAGATTTTAAGAATAAGAACAGCAGGAGCTGGTGTGGATTAAAGGCCTGTTAGACTGGCTACAGACAATGCTAGTAGTTTCATTTTGGCTCAGATAACCTACAGCTCTCCTAAGTATGGCTAAGAGCAGAGAGCCGATCCAAGTGCCACTTGATATGTGTTCACCTCATTAAAGAGGCACACTGTTTCCAGAGAGGTGTTGGAGCAGACCTCTYTGGAGACAAGGCAGGAAGATGCCTGTGAGCCTTGCAGGACAATTCCTCTGCAAGGTAGGTTTCACCCACTATTCTCTTCATAAGCATATTGTGGTCAGCACTGAGTTCACTGGGTGKAAACACCAGCTAGAAAGGAGGTCCTGGCAACAGGATGCCTCTATCTACTACAAAATCTGTTCAAACATTTCCAACAGCTCCCTTTGACTCTTTATGTCGCTCAGCCACTGGCTAAATGAAATAGAATTTTTCCTATGTGGAAAAGCAGTTCTGGTGAAAACGCTAATAATTCTCTTCTATCTGATCCCCGAAAAAAGAACTGGTAAGTTCTGCAAAAGTGTGACTGTGACCTATTTTAATCTGTTAGTCGATTTTAATAATTAGTAACYGTCCAATCAACTGATGTAGTCATCTCCAGATAAATACCAGTTTACAGAAGACTGAGTTTCTCTTGCTATATTTTTCTCTTTTCTATTATTCAAGTTTTCATGTTTTTCCCTCTATGCCATTTCTGAGTCTTTAATGCACTCTTGTCTCCCAAATAAGCTCTACTAAATTTTCTTTGCTGATTCCTGCTTTGTTTGTTAAGTGTCATTTATGAATATATACATAAAATGACCGTTGGACAACTCCATTACCAATGTCCTTCTTCTGATACTTTCTCCTTCAACACTACCTGATGTATTTTGACTTACCAAGTTTCTCATTCTAATGGCTTCATTTGTAATACTGAGGTTTGTTAAGGATCTACTTCAAATTATTTTCCATTTAAGTCATGTTTACCCTGAATCCAAATCTATTTTCAATCATCTGATATCCTAGAATGCTCTCATGACTTACCAAAGTCAAGTCTAAAAAAGTACCATTTCCTGTCACGTTAGTGAATCTCATGAGGATATTTTTATTGCSTGGAAAGGCCAAGAATATCGCAGACTCACCAATAATAGCATCAATTGCTCTCTAACCTGTTTCCTGGTGTTAAATTATCCAAAACAACTACTGCAGTAGTAATTATCTGTCTAGTAACATTAAAGAACTCTCTTGGCAGTGAAAAAGGATCCTGGTGGCATATGGCATRCTGGCGGTAATAATCTTTTACCAAACTATGAATTGTGCTGTCATTAACACATACTGCTGCTCACTGCCAGTTCCTCAAAAGCAGCCACTGGTTTTAGAGTATTCATGCCTTGCATAGACACCCTCAATCAGCTTCAGCAGCATCCTCTCAACTTCACTTGTGCTGATGTGAAGGACAGCCAGGGGACTGCTTCCTTCTCCTAGTGGGAAATATTCCACACTTAGATTCCCATTTCTTTGCAAAAAGCACACCATTCCTCTGACTTGTCTGTCATCAGTTTCTTGATGCTGTGTGGCAAAAAAAATAGTTGCTCAGGTTTTGGTGGCAAGACAGGCATGCGTGGATTGCTGTCCTCTTGTAAGTATGCAAGGAACCACTATATTGTGGTAACAGGATGATTCTGCTTCCAGAGCTTAAAAAATATTCCTCAGAAATAGCATGAGTATTTGTATGAGAACCTGTACAGACTTAAAAGTCCTCCAYCTCACAGTAACACATCTCTGCCTTTTCCAGGTAGTGTCTCAACACTCTGATCCTTTCCCTTTTGTTTGCAGCTATTCTGCTTCTCTTTTTACAATCCCTCCATATTATCTTCATTCTTTATCTGGCCAAACCTTGATCTCAGCTGAACAAAAAAACTGTATGTTTAAAAGAGCTACGCTTTGCTTTTACGGCATAGCTTCCTTCCTTTACCACATCCACAGATACAGGGGCTTTACATGTTTGTAGGTCAGTTCCCTGAATCACAGCAGCAGAATCACAATGATAAAACTGCTCTGTGAGCTGTTTGAGCCGAGCTGGCATGCTCAGCCACATGCACAGAGACCTGCATATGATCCTACATTTCAGGCCTTGGATTCAGTCTTTTCACTCTCCATCAGCAAAGACTCACCTAATTTCACTTGAAGTGGGGATGGCTTATAGTTCATGGCTACAGTCTCTCCCTCTCTCGTATCACAATCTCTGTCCGAAATAGCGGCAGCTGTTGGATCCTGTTAAGAAAGAAGAGAAACAAAACAGAATGGTTTAGCTGAAAGTTCTGCAGCTTCATCTCTGAGTGGCTGTTAGGCGACTCCACCCCCTTCACACGCAGAGGGAGCAGAGAACATGCTGGTGTTTTGAATGCTGAAACTCAGGGGCAAAACACTGAGATTTGGAAGCACATTTAGKATGTTAAATGTACCTCTGGAACTACCAGATTTCACTATCAGGCTTAGATAATGAATGACACTAGGAATACAATATGGATGGTGGGTCAGGAGTTCAAATTCAGCCTGGACTGCCAGTAGTCTTGAATAATTTTCATGCRATGACTCCTTGGGTTGTTGCATGAAACACATTTACAGTTTCAGATGAATTCCAAGCGGACCAGTCAACTTTAAACTTAAAACTAAAAAGTTTGAGACCAGGTCTGTGTGAAASCCAGCTTGGAAGGAATGAGGGCTACACGGGTAGCAGAATTCAATTTCTGATCCCTCTTGGGACCTATTTCATGGCTGACAGGAAAGATCTGTCAGCAGGGTACCTTTCACTGTCACTGAAATTTCCTCCTGAAAAACAGATCTCCCCAAACACAGTCTACTCCTGCCTACTGGCAGATAGCATGTATTGAAATCTATGGTAAAGCACATCAAAGACCTTAACGGAGAAACAAACTACCAAATCAGGCAGTTCTACCCCTGCTAAAAATATCTGAAGTCCTCTCACAGCAAACCGCAAACCTGTTGGAACTCTCTCCACTTAGCACCATAGTGAAAATTTAAACTGGTTWTCAAACATGTTCTAACCTAGAGGTTAGAAATTAAATTGAACATACACATACATCCATGTGTATGTAAATTTGGATAGATCATAGGTAGAACTTCACAGGCAAAGTAAACATTCAGTACTAGGTGCAATATATGAATAAACCATCMCTTGTAAGAAATGGAACAAGGCATCATAAACTAAATACTAGCAYACTATTCCAAACTGGTGAATTGATATTGCCTCTCAGTTTCCAGAGTTTTTACTTTGTGTACAATTTCTTGCAAAATGCAACTCACCATTTGGCAATGACACCTGTACACAAAGCAGAACCTCTGAGTTCCAAAGCAAGGTAACATCACTCTTCACTCCCATTTAAAAAAAAAAAAAAAACAAACAAGCAAACAAACAAACAAAAAATCACTTGTTGAGCTACTCTTCCACCTGCTTTCTCTCTGCAGTGCACATTAGCTCTTTCCAATACACTGTGGTTAGTTGATAAGAAGTGATTTTTTAAATTAGGCTCTACCTTGGCAGAAACTGGTTAAATAACATACATAGGGTTTTATCAAAATCAAGCTCCTTTGCACTACCCAGTGGACTTTGACAGTACTCATAATGGATGGTGCTTACCAGAACTCACATTGAAGGACAATTCTGAACAAAAGACAATTTCTTTTGCTTTCCTCTAATGCAGTCATTGCTGCACTTTTCCTCTAATGCAGCAGTTCAATGGCTACTCAAAAAGAGAAGATTGCAAACCAAAAACCCCATCTCCAGGAGAACAATTAGGCATAAATCACAGACCAGTTAATGTGGTATCTTTGGAATACGGATCTGGTCTTAACCGTGCCCAGATGAAGGAAACAGATCAGAATCCAAGCTGCAGGAAAAGATCATCATGGTGGGGCCTCTCACTATTCAGGGGAAGGCAGCACCTAAGATTTGTAGATGCTTGTGGACAAAAGGAATGTCGGAAGTGAGAGGGTCCACAAAAAAAAGGTTCTGTTAGTAAACTGCAACTTGGCACGAGATTGGTACGTTAGTCCTTGCCCTTCTATGAAGCACACAGGAGCGGGTTCAGGATAATAGRGTAAGGTGAAAGGGAAGAGAGAAAGAGAGATGAATTAAAGAGGAGGAGAAAGGGAGTAAGAGAAAAAGAGAGATCACCAGTCCTGGCTCCATCGCTGATCCAGCTGATGGGGTCTGCAGGGTCCTGGGRTGCACACGTGCCAGGACTTTKTGGGGCCACCTTTTTATAGATAAGTTTTCCTGCACTGGACATAAATTTTTAAATTTCTTTGTAATTTAGTTGCTGTGTGCAGTCMATTCTCTCAGACCTTTCTGGAAATAGGTTGRAGGCTTCAGGGTATTCGGTGGTCTCCATATTCCCCTAGAGCCCATGCCTGCTACTTGACCTCATTCCTATGCTTGTGCTGTGTTGTGTTTATCTCCAGGAGCCGGGAGAAGGATATTTGCCCCATAAAAGAGCTGCTCTACCTCCATATGACCCCTTCTCCAGCTACACTCTGTTCATTCTCACTGTGTTTTTACTAACAATCCTTGGCTGCTAGTACCAACAACCCTTGGTTGGCTCCACAGCCATCAAGCTATCAGTGTTTGAGACATCCACATGAGCTCCCTTATCTTTGGGCTTCTACACATGGGAATGGCCAGATAACACAAAGGACACGTCTGTCTGTCAGACATGCTAGAATCTCTCCATGGGGGATGTTTAAGGTGCTAAGTGATACCACTTGAGTCCAGACTTCCTGGATGAGATTCTTTTCTCTGCCACTCTGGGAAAAGGCAGGATACAGCCATTTGTAAGGAACATGACTCCAAGACCTGGACGCTTCCTAGTTCCTGCTGAGCACAATAAGCAAGTCCTTGGAGCCCCAATCTGCTGGCTGCAGGAAGGCATGGGAGTAGACACCTTATGGGAAATGACATAGTGTAATAGCCACATACTGTCTCCTGTGCTGCTGCAGTCCCGCAGAGAGTCCACTGAGCTCAGAGCCAAAGTTCACAGGGCAGAGAAGGAATCTGGCCATGCCTGGACTAGCCCAGGTTCATGTTGTTAAAATCATGCTAAAACTCTAAGTTCAAACCAGCCTTTACTTTTCATGGCAAGCTGATGTGCTGACAATAGCTTTTCCTTTGTAGGTAACCTGACCGTGACATTAGACATGCATTTGCATCAACAGAGGGAGGAGAGAACTGTTCTGAGGTGCCTTTGAAGATTTGAACTCTGAGCCTGGACCAGCAGACTCAGCTGGAGAAATCTCAAAAATGGGCTCTAGACCAAACACACAGAAAAGGCTTCCTAGGCCTCCAGAGGAAATGAGTATGATTTTCAAAGTGATTATTTCCATTCTGTCTAAGACTCTCATCTTAAAAGGAGACGTATCTRTCCTTGGAGATGCATTTCCCTCTCCCCACTGTCTACAGAGGAGGCCTGGCAAGCTGGTGGGACTTCTGACACTGGAAGTGGGAACAATGCAGGACAAGGTAGCAGAATCAGCTCTAGGAATTCTTCCACAAGGTTTGGCACGATGCTTTTCAGCACCAGCAGCACATGTTAGAGCTGCACAAGAGATCCACGATTTGCACACAGGGATCACAAGCACCATCAGACTGTRTGAYCACCARTGCATGAGCCAGGCCCGTGCCCTCCAGAGTGAAATGGATTTCAGAGGGAACCGAGCTGGGCCAGGGACAGTGTCTCCAGTGCCAGTGGGTATCTATCAGGAGTGGCAAGGCACTGTCATATTTCCCATCCATCACTTCACAGACATTCTGCAGCAGCACACAGAATTCCATAGTAACAATACCCACTGAGAAAACAGCAGCATTCCCACGCCAGCTCTGCAGGAGCTGTCTCTAAATGAACATGCTCTGCTTCTGTGCATACTGAATGGGTGCAGTCCTCTCTCTGCAGCTCAACTGCCCAGAGAAACGTTTACTTGACTGATTAGCCTTTKGCCTGTGAATGCCTAAGAGCACACTGAGACCCAATGCATGCTTTTGCTATTGGAATTCACTTGGCAATTTTTTTCTTTTTCACAAGCCTCCCTAGACCAATACACTCAGGTCTGCCCCCAACACCAAAATCTCATCTACATGGTGTGACTGGTCCCAGGCCAGAYGATGTGATTTCTTTTTGCTCGCTGGGGACAACACAACATTCCCAAACAAAAGCACAGTGCTGAGGAGTGGCTGCAGGGCCTAGATGGCTAAAGGTATTTAATACATTTAAGGGATTTTTTTTTGTTCCTGAGGCCTCCGTATGTCTTAATTCCTAAGGAAAAATACATTCAATCAGGGCACTGCATGAACATTTGGCTGGGGCCAGAGTTTAATCAAAGTTTTCTCCCCACATGCTTACAGCTTAATTGGGCATGCACAATCACAGCATTCGAACGGTGGGGAGTTTTCTTACTGGATTGTTTGTTTCTATAGGCTCGACACAAAGGATCTTGAAAACTGCCCTCCTGCTAGGAGCAGCCATGTCCCAYAGTGTGTGTACCATGTGCCATTTCTGAACATCAGAAATTAGTTCCAGTGAAGCTTTGTGGAGCAGGAGCGCTGTGAATCATCAGTATGCAGGAGCACAGAGAGAAGGTGAAAACACTTTAAACTGAAGTCTGGGATTTAAGGAAGATGGCAAGCTCAGCAGGCTTYTTATTTTTTCTCTTTTAATTCACTTTCCATTTTGCAGTACTTAATAAGAAAGCATCAACTCAACAGCCTTTTACTCTTATTATGTACCTCYTCCAAAAACCCACACTGAGTATGGGGGGAAATTGCCCCAAATAACCAGAAAAGTACACCATAATGGAGCTGGATACTTTGCACAAGCTCACCCTTGCGGCAACTGGGAAAACACAGCTTTCTTTGCCTTCCTTCACAGTCAAGATTTCTGACCTCTTGCAAGCTCAACAAGGCTCAGCTTTCCACTCAGTAAATCCTTGGGGACCACAGTGCATGTGGAAGGGAGTAGGCACACACAGTTTCTATGGTCTTCAGCTGCACCTCAAAAACATCTCTGCAACTAGAGAAATCTCTATCTGCCCATTCTTCCTATCCTCAAAATCAGTCATATTTACAGCTCTTATGAAAGTGTTCTCCTAGTCTGTGGGAATTTCTATGATCACCAAAGCAGGTCTACTKCTTTCTTTGGATAAAAGCAGAGGGGCATGAATCGCCCTCATCCTCTAATCTCAAAGAAAGCCSTAGTATACAG